TCAGTATGACCTCATTTTAATGTCATAGCATATTTACTATCTGTACACTAGCAGATAAAATATGTTACTACTAAGCACAAAACTACGTGATTTGTTATCATGAAAGCTGTAACAACAACACTAAGGTAACCCAGCCTCAACCTGATCTGCTCCTATCAAGTGTAAAAAAAACACTCTTAATTTTAACATTATAATACAAATGGGACACCCATCTTGATCATAAAACTGAATGAAATTTCCCAGTTACTATCAAGTCTTATTTTAACAATACATATTGCAGACTACATTTAGCACATGAAGAATTTCTTGTCTTACCAATACGACAAAAGTCCCTGGTGGCGGACATACCTCTTATAACTTGTTGTGGGCTCGATGAAATAGTTCGTTATTTTAGTACGTTTATTTCTCATAAAAAGATTGTAATTTCCCTTTAGCTATCTTTTGTCAAACGCATTATTTATAAAACATTGTTGGAAGAACAATATTTTACTTTAACAGAAATAAATATTTTTTTCTTAATTCGCTTTAATGTCACATGTTCTTACTCGTAGACTAGTAAACAGATAGAGGACAATCCATTCATTCAGACGTTTTTTCAGTATTATTTAGCGTTCTGATAAATTTACAGGCTTACAAAATACATAAATCGTCTTATACTTGAGTACAAGACAAACGCAAACAATTCTCCTATTAAATGTTTAGATTTTCAATAGCCAAATCCGAATAATTGTCAGCAGGTAGACATTTTGTACAGTTACTGTGTAAATAAAGTACTTGTACTGTTATATCTTTAAATGTACTTAATTTATGTGGACTTTTACTTGATATATATTGGTATAAATTTAGTCTTTAACTCCTAAAAAATACCAATCGCATCTTTTCTGCTGGGAAACGGAAGCGTTGCATGAAAAACCGGATGGCACTTTTTAAATGTAAAATAAAAAATGAACAATTTCTTTCCATCTGACTTCCCCGATCATAGGCTTTACCATCTTACATATTAGTCTTTGAAAATGTCTGTCAAATTAAAAGTATTTAAGTTATAAATCACAATAAAATATTTACAGGTACTTGCCGAGACACCAGAGAAACCTAATACCGGTTTTCGATTTCCGGCCGGAATGTATCTTGGGTATCCAGAGTCACCGGAAACCGTAAATACTGTCGGCCCCGTATCAGTCGGTGGCCTCTCTTATGCGTATGAATTGAGATACAAATTTAACTTCTGGCAGCCGAAGTTTTCCGAGAATCTTTCTTCAATATTTATAGCAGAATCATTTGGCAACGGAAAGAATACAGAAGTGTCTCATAGTGAATCCGTTTACATATTAAGTTGGATATATGAAGGTAAACTTTTTATAAGAAAATTGTAAGTGAATTGCTCGCCGACTGAATAATGGTAAAGACTAAGTCTTACACAATTCACGGGGTATTTTCAACTTTAACTTGATCTTATGAATATTTGTTTGTCTATATACCGTTGTATATATCTAAATATTTATTTTATTATAAAAACATTTATTAATTAGTATGTCCAATAATATATCGGTAAAATGAAGGCATTTTAAACAAAATTCTTACACATAAAATATCAACAACAAAGTGGAGTTTAGTAGTTCTTAACTCAAGAGCCCTGATTGGGCCACGGCCACGTTTCCTTATATGACGGTTAATCAAGGAAACAGATAAAAACTGGCTAAACCCCTTGAGTCTGTTATAATTATCAAGTCAAAGCTAATATGTTTATATCTAACAGAGAACGCTGGCTGCCCAGAGCCCGTCATTCCGAATGGATTTGCCAATACGTCATATAACGGAACGTCACCGGGATCGCACGCATAGTAACGTGTGGACGAGGGTATGATATAAAAGCCAAAGAGAAGCATACGCTTTATTGATTATGAACGTATAATATTAGTTTTCATAAATTTGATACTGGAGAACATTCCGAGCTGGCATACCAAAAGGATAATGATTAAAAATATGATGATTAACATTCTTCAAAAACGTCTACAAAATTATTATATCCCATGTTTTCTTTTATTCTTTTTAGCGTAGCTATATAAAGGAACTCCACTGAGGTCCGAACGCCTAAATATATAACATTTGAGTTTCATATATAGATAACCTGGGGTAAAAAGATAAGCAAAAGATGTATTACTCAGGAATAATTTTATATCGTACTTTAGGGCTGTTCTTGGTCCAATTTGAGAGCAAAATGTTGCAACGCTTTTCAATTTTAGGTCATTTTTCAAACACAGAACTAATCTGGAAAAGTGAAAAAATGGTCTGGAATATAACACATAAGTTGTTGGTCAAAACCTACATCAGATGAAATGTTTTTTGTCTGTTAAATAAAGACTTTGTAACCTCTGATCCCTCTTCAAAATTCCACTTTTTTAGTTCAGCCCTTTGTTTTCTCGTTAAGGGCACATTTTGAACTTGAGGACCACATGACTCTTTTGATTGAATTGAGGTTCGGTATAAACGCAACTGCAGATTTTTTTCTATCTGTATTCATTTCATTCCGTTGCGTATAAAATGTTGAATTCTGTAGAAATCATTGCACCATTTTTACTGAAATACCTTTAAACAAAATGCTTACAATGTTCTAGACACGGCTGAATATGTTCTTGCTTATGTTTGAGAAATAAAGAGAATAGTTATGATTATATTTAAGAAAAGGCAGTAGACTCAGATTGCAACCCTGCCGTGGATAGATGCCGGGATCAACACGCGACTTGTATTATGACGCCAGATAGACAAAGATATAGATGCACGTGTAACGATGGTTACAAGAATGAAAATGGGAGGTGCAAAGGTAGTTATTTCATTGTTTAATGGTAAACAACATTTGTGAAACTTGCCATACAACGATTAAATCCCGCTAAAGCCGGTACGGGGGCGTGAGAAATGTTCGCGTGATCATGATCTCTCATGGGCAGGTAGAGCCTAAGAATACTATTTAAATGTATTTTTGTTGCTTTGCTTGTGATGCATGATATCCGTATTCCCATTTTGTTATATCCGGTCGTCATGTGTATTTGTATTTTATGATTTTACCATCATTAGCAGTTTTGTGTTGTTTTGCTTTGTATCAGAAAGTATCAAAATTTTCTGAAAATTATCTGTAAAGAGTGCATACTTTAAAACATACAAGGATACCAGATACCAGATTTTACCATTACATGTTAAAATGTTGAATACTGTTTATTAAGCCAATGCTGCGGGCGTGGATGGTAGCTCGAAGTTTCAAGAACTGTCCACGAAACCGGCTCAATCAAACCGAGCCTGCAACAATTTCAATTTTGCCGTTTTGGACTTTCTTTGGGATTAAATTTCTCTCTACTATTTCAATGTAAATTATAAAAGGACATTTTTATTTGATATCCAACAATAGGTCATGCTTTTCAAATAGCTTTAAATATGGCCAGTTTTTTCTCTCGTCAATATTTGAGCCGCGTAACGACAAAACCAACATAATGGGTTTGCGACCAGCATGGGTCCAGACCAGCCTGCGCATAAGCGCAGTCTGATCAGGATCCATGCTGTTCGCTTATAAACCCTATAACAAGTAGAGAAACTGATAGCGAACAGCATGGATCCTGATCAGACTGCGCGGATGCGCAGGCTGGTCTGGATCCATGCTTGTCGCAAACCCATTATGTTGGTTTTGTCGTGACGCGGCTCATTTGTTTGTTTTCTCTGTTTAGCCAAAGGAATATATTTACCCAAAGCCGATTATGACAGTGACTGGACACTTATACGAAAGGGCGGATCTAAATGGTATCTCGAATTCGAACATGGACTGGGGGCAGTACCGGTGATAGTCGATGTCCAAGTTGAAGTAAATAATTACATTTTCCATGCTATAGGTAAGCAACTCGTGTCTGTTAAGTAATGACTTCGTATGTGTTATAATTGAATGTAAAGTAAATGGTAATGTTTGAATTCATAAACAACTGAAAATCATTATTTTGAAAACAAACTCAATTAAATGAAATCTTCCAAGTTAAGGTGTATAAAGCTATACGGAGTAGTTTGCGTGAATATTCGTTTAGCATTGTGTTATTCATGGAGCTTTAGTTACTTACACAAAAGCATATTAACCGTTGGTAACCAAAGCAGTTGTTGAATGCGTTAAATGATCGCTAATACGAGTAAACCTTCTTAAGTACCACACACATATTTCATTAGGGGACATCTTAATATTTGTTTTTATTCATGTTAGTGTGACAAATGACGCACTATGATCACAAGGAAACAAACATTGAGGTTTTCTTACATTAAATCGTATTTTTATATTTATATAATAATGTTATATATGTAAATCAAAACATTTTTTGCGATTTTGTGTGTGTGTGTGTGGGGGGGATACATGGACAAGGTGCTTAATTGTCAATTTCAAATATCTGAGTTTTTTTTCTACTCTTGCTTTGATGAACACATTCTATCGAAGCATAACCTGTCGTTCATTGACACTAAGAAAATACTCTTTCAATGACATGCTTTGAAAATAGAATTGTCGATGCATGCTTTTCATGATCATTGACTTTTGTAATGTCATTTATTTTTTCAAGGGTTTCCTCCCGGAATATCTTCGCAAAATCTCGACCGTGAAAGCACAGTTGTATATATCTATGATGAAAATTTTGTAAATGTTTCGACCCTAAAATCAGGAGGTTGGAGCGATATGGACGGTCTTGTTTCAATAAGTAAGTTTCTTAAAATTGTTTAAAACCGGTTTGTTTAACTACCTTTAGTTAGTTTGCTCCCTCCCTGTTTCGTCCAATCTGGCATTTTCCGCTTATTTCTAATTTCTTTTTTTTGTGGACGTGCCTTTTTAGTATTTATACGGTGATCTACCGGGTTCTTTTCCGGTGATACTTTTTGTGTGCTACGTTTTGGTCTCATTATATTTTTCAATTATAGAATGGTGAGACAAAGAAATTAAAAAGAATAGTAATTAATGCGAAATTGAAATGACATAATCGTTTGCAGATTTAGAGTGTTTAATTTATCATGCTGTTATTTGAAAAGAACAACCATTTAATTGTTTTAATTCACTTTAACGAAGGTAATAACAACTGGTATGGCTATACGACATACTGGAGTAAACACGGATATGTAAGAGTTCAGGCATGGAAATCTGAGTCACTTCCGAATTCAGACGTATCGGACAATACGACAGAACTGAGGGCTAATACTTCTAAAGGTAATTTCCTTAAAATACTAGCTTATTTACTTAAAACATTGTAAAAAAATCTAAAAATTGAGCTTGAATAATAAAGTTCCACTATTATACACATCTGCATATATTTATCAGTTGAACGGCCGAGTTTTAGCATAATTTACATAAAATAACCCGTTACTTAATTCAGTCATATTTCAATATTAGGCTGATATGAATTGATATGGGTTACAATAATCTTCTGTTTATTCCTCAATTATTTTCACTAATATTACTTCCATTAGCAAAATTAATGGTTGTTTATGCATTGGTAAAACAGTGGTGGAATTTCGTCGGATCGATGAATATTAGTTCTTGACGAATAATTATGATTTTGCAGTAATTGAAATTATGTGAAAGCATGCTTATCTCAAAATGGTGGTTCATTCTGTAGATCAATAAATGAGTTTATCTTTTGCACTGTCCCCTAAAGCATAAAATTATATTCAGTCTGTGGAAATAATAATATGTGTTAAGTTTGCGGTTTTTGTTTTTATTTAATATATTGAAAATGTGCATCTCAATTTCAGCGAGCGACTCGTTTTATGAACTAGATCATGGTCTAGGAGAATATCCCGGTATTGTTGTTGTTCGAGCTAAAATGGAGTATAATGGTACAACTTTCTACGCAGATGGAGTAGGTATGTTGTTTTAAATGAAACCTTGCCATTCGTCGGATGAAGACACGATAAATTCATAAAACTGTCTGCAATATTTTGTTATACCCACAATCTTTTACTTAATTTAAAGTGACATTTTGTCCATCCAAGGAAATATAGGGAGTGAACAGGGGAAAGTCAAATTAAGTTTACATTTTGCCATAACTCATTATAATACTATAATTTACTACACAAAGATAAATAACTCACATGGCCCTAGGTTTTTTCTGTAAATATCTATCAGAATTTACATGTAAAATTCAGTTCATAAAAAAAATTGGGTCAGTCTTTTTATATTTTAGGCAGATCAAAACATTTTACAATATTAACTGCTGGTCAATCACAATAATATTAAACAGTCTTTAGAAATATGTAGTATATTCAAATGAGCTCGACAATGAAAAAAAATGAGCATAATATCACTAATGTTTTTACAGTGTATTTTAAGCTCATAAGTAATAAACCTACATAATTTTGTTCCCTTTAAAGGATCAGCACTTAATGTATTCAGAAGCAACGAAAACGAGACAAACTCGTGCCTGGTTTATGGATACAGTGACTCCAAGATCCGGGTATGGGTCGACTCTTCTACAATTGGAGGTAATAAAATATGTTGTGATTTTAATTTTGGTGATCTGCCACTGACGCTTTAATATATGATACGTGCCTTTAGGCGTATCGTTTGCCTTAAGGTACAGCGTTCAGTTTATGTGTTCAAACCGGTTATTACAGCTAAATGCATAAAGAATTACTCAATACGTATACATATGAAACTTTGTTTTTGTTTGGTTTTACGGCGCACCAGCACTGTTTAGGTTTACTTATATGTCGCTAAGACATGAAAAATGATTTTGGCCAACCTCGAGTGTTACAATGTTAAAGCAATATCAGGGTTCAAATCCTGCTTAATTAATAAATTGTTAATATGTTTTTACAGGAGAGAATTTCATATAAGCTTTAAGCTTTCTACTCAATCCTGAATGCAATTTATATATTGTAATATTGTCTATAAATATTGATAAAGAAATAAATATTGTTAAATGCTAACCCTGCTTAAAATCAAGACAAAATTAAGTATTCGCGGGTAAAAAAAGGTGTATAACAATCCAAATAAAGCCTTGATTAATCATTAGACATTTCCTTCAGCAACGATCTTCTCTTAACTGTTCAATCTAATGACTATGATATTTTGATATTTACTTCATATTGAACGATATAACGATAAAGCAGAGAAGAAAAAACGGAGTCCCTAAAGAACAGCACAATTGAAAATGTTACAGACGGTTTAATTGAGCGTGTTCTTACACGGAACAGTGTACTTGTAATTGCAAGTTACTATTAATAAATCACAAAGTTTACATTTAATGTAAATAAATATTCAAAATTTAACTTTGAAAGATAAACAAAAGATACTGGTATTCCGAAACCTACTTTATTGCGAAAACTCGCGAGTTTTTAAATATTTTATTGATTTTTTTGGTATTTTCAGCAATATATGATGGTAGAAAGAACACAAAATTCGACATGATGGTATCGGTGGCTGTACTCGAGATATATGCATGGAGGTTATCTACGATTACGCCTTTCTTCACGTATATGTTCCCGCTAGACGAGGATCGATTTTCGATTGCTACTAAATTTTTAATGAAATATAATCTTGGTGACGGACTTACCTTGACTACGGTAAGAAATATATTTGTCACTTCTTAACTCTTGATAAGTATACACACATGATTACACCTGATTCCAATCAATTTTTCGGCAGTATGATTTCGGGAAACAAAAAATAACTTTTTGTGCATTTTAGATACATGTATATAAGCAATGCTGACCGTCTGTGATTGGTAGGGATTTTGTTTGTTTCTTGACAATAAATTTTATTCATTTATTTATTTATTTTTAAATAGATAAATAAATAAATAAATAGATTATAATGATGATGATAATAATAATAATAATAATAATAATAATAATAATAATAATAATAATAATTATAATAATAATAAATAGCAAAATAAGTTTGTTATTTTTGTATAATGAGTGTACATACATTTTTAATTTTATTTTTTTTATACCAACAGGCACAGATAATCGATGCATCAAGTCAGAACAAAGATTTCCGGTTCCCTTCGTCAGCGTTCCTGGCGGATAAATACGGTGCTACAAAGAACAAAACAAACGCGCCGGAATGCATGTTTGGAGGTTTTACTGCTGCTTATTCAAAAAGAGTTTGGATTTTTAGAAATAACGAAATAACACTCCTCCTGAATAAGCCTGTACAATACAGTAATCCATATGAATATCAAGGTAGATAAACGATGAATTTTATGTAATGAAAATTATTTAAGAAATAATTTATCCCGTACAGTGATTTTATCGCTTATCACTAAATAAAATCACTCCAAACTATTGTGATTTTATGCTAATGAAATCACTGTTTGGAGGTCGGGTGCGAGGAATTATTTATATATTATGAGCCTATTAGAGTTATATAATGAGTCGCATCCGAATGACAAACAGTGATTTTAATAAGCTTTTTGGATATATTATTTCGATTCTAACACGATACTAAAAAATCAATGCTGCATACCTGGTTTCAAGCTAAGTTGCGCTTGATTGCTGCATATTGTGTTACATGTTTGTTACAATGTTTGTTGTAGAATTCTAGAATTCTTCACGTGAAAGTTATTTTTTTATTTGCTATGGTGCTTGTTTAAAATGTCTTAATACAACTAAATACAAAGACAATGTCACTTCTTCATTTCTCTTCGCACAATTTTGGTGAAAAAAATCAATGTTCAGTAGTGTGTTTTTTTTGTTTTTTGTTGTTTTTTTTTGTTTTTTTGTTCTTAAAGTCCTTAACATTTAGCAAGGTCCGGAAAGGATTTTCACGGGTTTTGCTGTAAATATGCAACCCTGCTTTGGCCATTGATTGTAATCGTAGATTCTGTTCCACATGTCCACATCAAGCTATTGGTGATGAATTTCATTACTTATTTGAATGCTCGTACTTTAATGACAACAGACGTAAATCTCTTCTATCCAGTTTCTTATTCATCCAAATATTTCAATACTACTAACTTACTTAAATTATCTCTATTTTGTTAAAAACATTGTACTAAGATTTAGATAATACTTCTTATTATCCGTTTCTTTCCTGTTTGTTCCACTGTTAATGAGAATAAATTGATCTCCTTTTTTGTTTATTTAACCTTGTCTTAATTGTATTAGTTGTTTTTATGACCTTTTTTCTTTTCAATACTTTTTTTGTATAACCAATTGCATACTACATGCCTTGGTTTAATGAAAACTAAAAACTGCTAATTTCCATAATTTCACCGTGCATAATGCTTCGTTATGATCTTATCTAAATTAAAGCAAAAATTCTATGGACTTTATTTGACCAATCTGTTTTAAACAATATGAAGACGGCGACATTTAACAGATCAGAAATTTGAATGAAATTCAAGGCATTACTTTCTGAATTTGATTTATTTTAAGGGGCTTTGTTATGTATACCTGACACATATGGGGGAGGAACTTATACCGATGCAGCCCATAATGGCATTGGAATCCTTCACAGCTGGATAAATGGAGGTTAGTGAAAACAAACCTTTAAAATGATATTTTGAGATAGTATAAGATAGTATTCCGGGAGGTAAGGTATGGTAGGGAAGGTAAAAAAATGAAAATTTCAATAATTTGACCTTAAAAGTCAAGGTCATTTATGAATGAAGGTCAATGTCTGTCTAGTTTATTTAAAAAGATATCCTTGAAAATTATTATGTTCCAGTTTGAAGACAATCCGTTCAAAAATAACAAAGTTATAGCCAATAGTAGCAAGAACAAGCAAAATTGGACAATTGACCTTGAAGTTCAAGGTCATTTTTGGATAAGGTCAAGGTTGGTGTGGTCTATTACTAGTAATAGGTATTGTCCCAAGAGTTGTTGTGGCCAAGTATGAAGACAAGACACCAAGAACTTAAAAAAGTTATGATCCAGGTACAAGTTTGCGGATGGCAACGGTTACGGCAACGGCAACGCCGACAGGGCTATAACAATACCTCTACGTTAAAAAAATCGAGCTAAAACAATCATATGTGTATTACTTGTTATGTACACGAACATTTATATCTCGACTTTTTACATCTAGTCACAAAGACACACCGCTGCTACGGCAACGCGTTTTTGACTGAAGTTGTTTGTACAATATATCCTCTTTGTTTAAGATTGTGGCGAACCACCGGAACAAACGAATGGCTATTTAAATACTACAGTAAATGGAACAGAAATTGGCGCCTTTGCAACATTGGAGTGTTATGACGGGTACAGGGCCTCCTATAGCAGCCAACCAGTCTGTGATAATACTGCGCATTGGGAGGTTTTTGTCTGGTGCAAGCCAGTTGGTGTGTTGTTTGTTTTATCTGCTGTGAAATATGTTTTAAAGACCCTGTAACGCATTTTTTTATGATTTTATATCATAAATCTTATGCTCATATGATGGTTTATCAATATTGTAAGTTTCGAAAAGCATTATTTGTAAAGAATGATTATATACATATATAAAACTTCACTTAACTGTATGTTACGTCCTTAATTAAAACGTACAGGATCTTTAATACATTTTGCCGATTACTTCTCATTTGAAAAAAAAAACAAGATACAGGATCTTTAATACATTTTGCCGATTACTTCTCATTTGAAAAAAAATTACAAGATACAGGATCTTTAATGCATTTTGCCGATTACTTCTCATTTGAAAAAAATATACAACATATCAATCGCAACCAGACGTTAGCTCTAAATTCATTCCATAATATTCAAATTGCAATGGACCACTGTGACACCTTCTTTCTCCTCTCTGTTATTAATATAATTTGTTTTACATAGATATATCGTTAACTGTTGAGAAAGCTTTGAAAATATCTTTGGAAATATATTCGGAAATTTCTTTGTTGGTTTTTAAAGAAAATATTATTTTTCTATTTACGAATATATCGGTTTTCACTTTTAAATACATGTATAGGAACACTTCATAACAAATGAGGTTCACCTGGCAGTATCGAAATATCTGTGTCCAGTCCTGACTTCGAATCGTTATTAAAGGGACTCTACTGAGGATTTTTGACATCATTGGACTGGACATTATTTTATGAGATTAATTCCATTTGATGTAGGTCTTGACCAATAGCTTGTGTGCGAAATTTCAGACCATTGGCTCTCCGATTGTTTTTCAGAATAATTATTTTAATTGTGAAAATGGCCCAAAATTGAAATGCGTTGCAGTTTGTGCTAAGGATAGCAAGAAATACCATTTTCATTTTATTTCTTAGTATTTATTTTGATTATCCTTTGCATACCTTTCTATATTAAATGCCCCCAGCTGATGTAGGTAAGAAATTCGATTGTTTTGTTGTTGAGGTTTTCGATCTCAATGGAGTCCCTTTAATGTTCCCCCAAGACTATTTACATGTACATGTATATATATGAACTTTTATGTACCTTTTTATTATAAATACTTGAATTGCACTTTGGTGTAAATGTCTCATGGCTATAATTACTTGTATGCACTTTGAAAAAATGACCATCAATATTTGGTTATATTTTGGTTTCAATTGGTTTCTATACAGAATGTGGGGAGGTTGAAGCGCCAACAAATGGTACAATGAATGTAAGTGGTCTTACATTTGGAAATAACGTAACATTCCAATGTGAGGAAGGCTTTATGATAAAAGGTACTGATATGATTAAGTGTGTGTCAACCGGAAGTTGGTCTGCCAGCGTTCCAACTTGCATTGAAGGTAGGAAATTATCTTTTAAAATTAAAGGTTATTTCACTTTTGTTTTCACATTTTTTACAGTTCGTTAAAATATACTTAGTGTGCTTTATTTTCTTTATATGGGATATTGAATGAGTGAAGATTCAATACAGAATTTATTGAACGAGTTGAATAAAATTATATTATGCGAGCCTCTGGCGAGCAAGGTATTATTTAAATCAACGAGTTCAATAAATTCAGTAATGAACCTACACAAATATAATATTCTATTTATCACATAACCCCCAAAAAAGCTGTTTAAAGTGCAAAAGAATCAGAATTTTATTGACGCGCCTATAGAGTAACGCTAACATTTAGCTCGTCTGTACACAGTATTTGTATAACGTAAATGACGTCACAACAAATATAATATATGCACGGCCGTGCAATGCCATGTTTACGGAGTCAAAAAATCGGCACGGGTATGTGATAAATAGCCTTATGTGATAATCAGAGGGTAACAATCCATAATGTCCCATGGTACATCACGATCCTGCATACCGGGTACCGGGTGTTATTCATTCTGTTCTGTCGGTTACGTCAATTACACCCCTTTGTCTGATGTGATATTTATATAATTTCAATATGTAGCATTACTTATTTATCCAAGTCTATGTCTAAAATGACTGAAATAACAAAGTAATCATGTCACATATTGAAGACAAAGGACTATGAACTCAAAGGTCTGTGTAAAATGGACGCATATTAGATGTCTGTGCTTTTTAAAGTCCATCTAGATCGTCTTCGATCGGATATACAATAAATATATAAATATCTTTGCAGCATTTACATACTCTTCCTTTGACGTTTGGGAATTTTGTGCTTTAATATGCATATATAGTTGTTTCTAAAAACAAAATGTCATTGTATCAGGACACTTTTATTTCTTAATGTGGTGCTCTCATAACATTGACTTGAAGTTTTTCATACGGGTAAAAAAGATAATGTACACATATTCCTTTTGGACTTTCCACAAGCTTTAGTGAAAATCGGTAAAATATTTACTCTGAAGAAAAATCGTTCATATTGGAACGCTATTTAAAGTACTACAGTATTATTATAAATATTTTAGTGAATAAACTTGATAAAAACGCAATTTAAGTCAAGTCACTGCATTATTTGATCTATACGAAACGTATTAAGTTATAATAAATAAAATTATCTGGACTCGACATTATAAGGTGATGTTATTTAAAAATTCTCTGTAATCATATATCACACCTTTGTTCAAAACGTGTATCTGTTTATTTTCAGATAAATACGACTCTGGTGACAAAGACAAGGTTTCAAACAGTAACAAACCAAGTTGGAGCATAATAGGTCTTTTACTGACGATCAGTTTATCGTATATTACGTCATCGATACGATGTTATTTATGACGTCCTGAAATTACCCTAAAAAATGAAGTGCAATATTCCATAACAAAAAAAAAGTTTTACGAAAAAGAAACATTTGAGACATGGGCTTGAACACTGTATGAGAGGATACGTTTGATATATATGTTGCCGTAGTGATAGATTTTGGATAAAAGTGTGCTTAACAAATGAGGAGTAAACAAGATATCACACTCCTGTTACGTTTTTTCATCGTTCTCTGGGATAATTAATTCATCCGGTGATTAATTCCAATACTATTTAGTGTTGAATCTTGTATGTACGTGAACGTAATCAACAAAACTATATCTACAATATTTATCTTTGTTGTTGTCGTTGATTTTATGCAAATATTCTTTTTATAATAATTATAATGTTTGTAATATCTATTATTTAGCTTTTATCATATATACACATTTATCAGTTTTGTAATGTATAACCGTTTGTAAGAAGCGTAAATGTATATATTTATGATGAATGATTTAGTAATTAAAAACTACATACCGACTGATTGGTTAATTTGTTTCGCATACTACGCCTGCTCGATATAAATATATATTTTTGTCATAAGAAACGGAAAATCAGCGGCGTAATAAAAGAATGAATAAAGGAAAAGTATAAAATATTTTCCAAATTATCGATTATCTTGATTATCTTCTAAACATTACGTCCGCCACAGCAGCACATAATTATTTTTAAGTTGTTTGTGCTTTTTTATGTACAACTGTTCAAAGTTTTTTAATGTTTGTTGATATAATATATATATTATATATTTGGTTCAAAATATTTTATTAAAGCTCAATTTAGCGAAACAAGTTCTTGCAATTTATATTAATCACTTTCGAGTCCGCTTCCTGAAACCAACCAGTACTGGTGTCATATAAAGAAACATGGTATTGACCCGATTACGGCTCGAACCAATGATCCCTTGGTTGAGAGGCAGATACCTTAACAACTAGGCCGCTTCATATATACTTAAGGTATTCTATATGTTTCATAAGGATTGTACCGACTCTCATTCGTGTTAGAGTGCCAATAGCTTTTGTCAATTAATTATATATGTGAATATATGAGAATATGTTTGTAAGAGCATTTATTCCAACACAAAACCAAGTAGACAAAATTAGTTTTCATGGTTTATCAAAGGGTTGGCGAAATTTTGTCAATAGCTGGTGAAAAAGAAATATCGATACGAATTTAAGTATATGTTTCATATATGCTCCCACATCTGACATAATTTTATGAAACTTATAGAATATGCCTTACGCAAGTTAAATAATCTTATGTAAGTGTTAAAGTAAAGAAAACGTAAATCACTATTGCTTCAAAACAGATAAAGTTAAAACTTTATGTTCTAAATCAATGCAGATAAAATCACTATATGTCATTTTAACGTCAGCACCGTTGACGGAATGCTGATAGTCAACAAAGTAATTGTCTTTAGTTTACTTACGAAGCGAATGATAAAGTTTTAACCTTTTTTATTGATTATAACCTACAGTCAAATTTTCTGTTTCCAGCCATGACGAAAAGCTCCTGAAAAGTACGATTAACTTTCAGAAGCAAATGACATCAATATGTATTAGGAGGGAGGGTGTAGGTATTACTGAGTAAAGCTGGATCAGCTTAGAATTAAAAAAAAATTAAAAAAGTCGACGTTTTAATCCGTAAAAGACTAAGACATTACAAGTACGGTAGTTTATGCTCGCCGTCGATAGCTGACGTAGGACACGTGATGATAATTTACCTCCATGCAATTTCCAGGGAATATTAGCCAACGATGAAATAAAATGTCAAGCGAAAAGTAGGTCACTCACTGTACGGTGGTCAATAAGAACCAAAACGTGCTGTAACCTGAGACAATATGAAAAGAATGAGGTATCCAGGAAAAGGGCTCTTATGCCAGGTCACGGGCTGCCTTTCAAGCCGACTTTCCGCGCCGCCCTGCCTACTTTGTCTGGTCACTTCACTTGACTTTAGTCAGGACATCGGCAGCTGAGTCGTTGGTGTCGTTAGAAGCTCCAGCATCGAAGCAGGGTAGATTGCACTCCAGGACCTACCCTATATCTTACAAAAAAGAGCTCCGGATCTTAACCAGGCCACGTGTCCTTGGTGATAAATTAGCCACGCTCCAAATTTTCTGCCGATGCCGTGTGCCTTCCCTACGACGTGCGCGCACCGCTGTGCCTTCCCTACGACGTGCACGCACCGCTGTGCCTTCTCTACGACGTGCACGCACCGCTGTGCCTTCTTTACGACGTGCACGCACCACTGTGCCTTCCCTACGAAGTACACGCACCGCTGTGCCTTCTATACGACGTGCACGCACCGCTCTGCCTTCTCTACGACGTGCACGCACCGCTATGCCTTCACTACGACGTGCACGCACCGCTATACCTTCTGTACGACGTGCATGCACCGCTGTGCCATCTCTACCACGTGCACGCACCTCTGTGCCTTCACTACGACGTACACGCACCGCTGTGCCTTCTCTGCCACGTGCACGCACCTCTGTGCCTTCACTACGACGTACACGCACCGCTGTGCCTTCTCTGCGACGTACATGCACCGCTGTGCCTTCTCTACGACGTGCACGCACCTCTGTGCTTTCTCTACGACGTGCACGCACCGCTGTGCCTTCTCGACGACGTGCACGCACCTCTGTGCCTTCTCGACGACGTGCACGCACCGCTGTGCCTTCTCTACGACGTAAACGCACCGCTGTGCCTTCTCTACGACGAGCACGTACCGCTGTGCCTTCTCTACGACGTGCATGCAACGCTATGCCTTCTCTACGTCGTGCATGCACCGCTATGCCTTCTCTACGACGTACACGCACCGCTGTACCTTCTCTATGCCGTGCACGCCCCGCTATGCCTTCTCTACCACGTGCACGCACCTCTGTGCCTTCTCTACGACGTACACGCACCGCTGTGCCTTCTCCGCGACGTACACGCACGGCTGTGCCTTCTCTACGACGTACACGCACCTCTGTGCCTTCTCTACGACGTGCACGCACCGCTGTGCCTTCTCGACGACGTGCACGCACCGCTGTGCCTTCTCTACGACGTGCACGCACCGCTGTGCCTTCTCTTCGACGAGCACGCACCGCTGTGCCTTCTCTACGACGTGCATGCACCGCTATGCCTTCTCTACGTCGTGCATGCACCGCTATGCCTTCTCTTCGACGTGCACGCACCTCTGTGCCTTCTCTACGACGTGAGCGCACCGCTGTGCCTTCTCTACGACGTGCATGCACCGCTATGTCTTCTATACGACGTGCATACACCGGTATGCCTTCTCTACGAGGGGAAGAGATCAGAAAGACCATACCACGTCGTACAGCTTTTTTTATTGTTACTAAGGTAACTTATGATTTTTGAACCAACCAATTGGCACGTTATAAAAATCCGTCTTTATAGATGAAATAGATATTTGATTGAATGATTAAACTGTATATTGTTGCCATTATGTTTTGATTTTGTACCATAGGCAAAAAGCAACAACATTCCGTTATCTCAGTATATGTATTACGAAAGGTTATACACCTGTATTTGATGGACGATCTACTGATAAAAAAAAGAAACCCAAAAACAATACAAAATACTAGGAATCTTTACAAATGTCAAACAATTGTTTAGTAATATTTTAATAATGGATTTAGAGCATGTTTAATGTAAAACAACTAAGGCTCTAGCTTTAAATGCAGTAAATGTATCATAAAGGTAGGAATTTAAAATATAAACAAAGTATAGTATTTTGACTTTCATACCAAATATTATTTCATTTTGATAATACCAATTGCCAACAGAGCAAAATTAGAAAAGGATGATTCACCTAGGTGGCAAATATGTATTGTTTTGGAAACTGAAACAAGATATGAAAAATAAAACGGTTTTGAGAAATAAAAAATTGGGCCTTTAAACTGCCCTCACACATACCTCGCGACCTTAATGCGTCCTTACTGCACCCTTGCTACGACCCAGGACGCAGCACAGTCGCCATGGACGCAGCAGGGACGCAGCGAGGTCATAGCGAGGAACCCAAGGACGCACAAGGTCGCAGACCGTCGGCGACTATTTTGAACATGCACAAAACAGTCGCAGAAACTCTTCGTTCTTGCTGACTCCTGGTTAGGTCGCCGTGGGATCGCAGTGGAGTCGCCATAGTCGCAGCAGCATCGTAGGTAGGACGCAATAAGAACGCAATAGACGTTGTACACTCGTACTAAGGACGCCGTAAGGTCAGACTCAGAATGAAATTTACTGGTAAAAAGTATTGTTTTTATAGACGCAGCAAGAACGTAGTAGGGTCGTCGTACAGTCGCAGGACAGTCGCCGGACAAACGCAATAGTCGTCGTAGAGTCGCCGTAAGGACGCAGAGAACATAGCACAGTCGCAGCTGGGTCGCCGATGATCGCCGTGGGGTCGCCTTGGGGACGCAATACCGCCATGGACGTAGAAGGGTCGTATTGAGGACATAGAGAAAACGTACTGAACACAAGACTGCAGAGCCCCGGACCGTCTGCGAGAGAAATTTGAAAGAAAACCAACGATCTTCGAAAGAAAAATGCTATTTTACTAGTTTTCAGTTCGCAGTAAGGTCGTGGTTTATGTGTGAGGGCACCTTAATCGAAACAAATACTTTATAACATCCCGCGTCTTTGATTAACACAATTTATTCCGTATAGACTATGAAGGTATAAAATGCATCGGATATCAGTGAATTTACTTGTTATATTTAAATATCCCTTGTAAAATACTTTATAATTATGGTAAAATCAAAAACTAATTCAATAATGTCAGTTATATAACAGTCACGAATCTTTTCCATAAGGGGATGAACATGTTGTAAGAAACCTTCTAGCATTAATCAGTACTTATAATGATCAACTGATCATCTATAAAATAAACTTAATCGTATTTTTGTTCAATAGGATAACAGTTTTTCAAGGTCAGACTACTGTATTAATTTTCCCATAGAATCAAATGATAAGAAATGACCACTAGCTAGAACTACTTTAAAATCGAGTATTCATGCTCAAGATGCGATTTTTCCCTAGAAGAATGGCATGCCGGACACATTAAAATGATCTTATTTTATACGTCGACCGACCAAAGATTCCGCAATATGTCCACAATTAAAGATAATAACCCTCATATTCACTGAAATTTTCTACGCTTATTACAGAACTGACTCACTATGCAAATATTTAAATGAGATAGTATCCAACAGACTTATGAAACAGTCAATTATCTTAAGAAAACAACACAGTGTTATTTCTTAAATAATGTGTATACTTAAACATGACATTTTCATCCGATCACCTGCTGTCCCATTGAATCTTACGGTTTTCCCAAACCGCTGGCTATGTTAAGCCTCGGTCTCACTTACTCCCGGCAGAGCCCAGGACCATCCCGGAAAGTTACCGGGATGAGCCGGCACGATCCGGGATTAAATTATTGTTGCGGTCACACTTACCCCGGCAGCACTACGGTAGTTCCCTACTAACCACCCAGGATGCGCTCCGGATCATCCAGGCAGAGCCCAGGTGAAGCTACGGTTCATGCTGGTGCTTCCCCGGTCGTTCCCGGATGACGCCGGAGGAGCCCCGGTTTACCCAGGTAGAGCCCCGGTCGATCCAGGCAGAGCCCCGGCAGAGCCCAGGACGATCCAGGCAGAGCCCCGGTAAAACCCCGGTGGATTGAAAACGCCCGAAAATGATAACATTGATACATAATTTTTATTTAATATGATATCTATTGTTTCAGAATAGTAATTCATGATGATTTTCTGAAAAATCCTTATGCCATACTGGATAGAAAGGAAATGGGAAGGCTTTTAATACAAACAAGTGCAATCATCGCAAATTGTCGTTATTCTTTTGAAATGCTCCGGGCTTTGCCGAGGCTCTACCGTGATTAACTGTAGCTCTACCTTTATCCTCCGGGGTTCCGCCTGTAGTTACCGGGGCTCTGCCGGCATATACCGGGGCTCTACCGTAGCTCATATCATACCCAGGATCATCCCCGGTTTGTGCCGGCAGAGCTACGGTGCTTTCCCGGTATAACACCGGTCGTTCCCGGCAGAGCTAAGGATGGAGCCGGCAAATTTATACCTTCCCGGATCATCCCGGACCACCCCGGTGATATTAAATATTTTATTCCATCCGGGGTCGAATGCCGGATGTTCCCGGATCATCCCGGATCATCCAGGACGTTGCCAGCAGAGTTACGGATGTATCCCGGTTGTTCCCGGTCGTACCCCGGTCGTTCCTGGATCACCCCGGACGTCTACCGGGGCTCTGCCGGGATGTAAGTGAGACTGTAGCTTTACACCTAAATTCGTAGGCTTACTAGCTCTGTCTTTTAGTAAAACGCGATTGACTGATGTTATAGTTATATAAAAGAGTTTCATTTTTAAGAATTTTATCGAACGAATTGTAAATCATTAACCTGTACAAAATAGATTTTTACCTGTAAAATAAAAACTCAGTTAGCTACGCCCCTGCAAACGTTTTTGATTTTTTCCCAGTGGATAATGATAACTAACAAATTATCAAATTAACTTATATCTTTATCAGGAAAAATCCGAATGTTTACCATGTGCAAAATTATGCTTTTAATGCATGTCATTTTATTGATTCAATGTGTCAAGGTCATTTTCACGCTTGATATACCTGTAGAGTTATAATTTATGCATTTTTGTTGGATGGGCTCGTGAAAACAGTTTTAACGATGGATTTAAACATACATGTTGATGATGAGATTATTCTTTTGTGATACAACCTATCATTAACGGGATAATTACCGTATCAAAGTGTTGACGAAAAACGTTTAAAGGTAGGTTATAATAATAATAACAATAATAATAATACTGTGTGGAATATGCGCTGCGTATATAATTGTACTGTATGGGATATGCGCTGCGTGTTTTGCTTTTTCAACGAAACCTAGAGTACTGTTGTTACATGTATGAGTCAAGTTATTAGTATGAACGTACCTTAATTATTATACATGAAGATACTCTATTGTTTTGTTTTAATTTCAGATGTACATCACAATGGCCTGTTTGTCGTTTATTGCGTTACTGATTCAGTTTTTGATCGTTAAAGGTACGTCCAAAATCTAGTACATTATTTTCAATTTCTCATTGCAAACAAGTTAAGCTACATATTCTTCAGTTTCCAGTCTTAAAACGGTATATTTAATATTGTAAATATACAATAATATAAATAAATGTAAAATGTTAAAATATTATTAAATGGACTTGTGATGACTGACACTTAGTACACACCCAAGAGGTGGAGCTATTTAGGTAGTTGTTTTAGTATGTTATGTATATCATGTATTTTAGAGAGAGTTACAGTGTATGTATGAATGTAAAACAATAAAGCTGTATTATAAGCTAAGGTGTTGATTTTAATAATCCTCAAATAAACAGAATGTTACAGGACTTATTATATCAATGCTAAATGAAATTTATTTTTCACAAAAAGCATCCTTTATTAAAATTTTAAACTGCTAAAGCATGATCGGTTTTATTAACGGTGAAATTTGTTATTTATAAGTGTTTTTTTTTGTTTTGTTTTTTGTGTGCCTTTTTTTTGCCTGTTGATTATTTATCATAGTTAAGCGAGTTCTCTGAAAATTGGAAAACCAAGCTCTGAAAAAAAATGTATAAATTAGATTTTGATAAAAAGAGAAGTTTTTGATTTGTTTATCATTTTCTTAACCATTTATTGCTCACTGGAAATTTATATATTACTTAAAACTGCATGAAGTATTAATACATATTCAATTCTGAATATATTTCTCTAAAAAAATGATGCCTGATTAAAGGCCAATTATGCATCAGAAATGCTATCTTTTTCATTTTCTAATTTTTAAATTGGTTTACTTTTAGTGAATTAATATTTTGTATTGAAGTCAAAGTACTACTTGGGGGCGTCCGTGGCCGAGTGGTTAAGGTCGTTGACTTCAAACCACTTGCCCCTCACCGCTGTTGGTTCGAATCCCAACAGGGACTTTGGATTCTTTCATGTGAGGAAGCTATCCAGCTAGCTTACGGAACGTCGGTGGTTCTACTCAGGTGCCCGTTCGTGCCTGAAATAATGCACGGAAGGGCACCTGAGGTCTTCCTCCACCAGTAAAGCTGGAACGTCGCGATATGACCTATACCGTGTCGATGTGACGTAAAACCCAAAACAAACAAACAAACAAACAAAGTACTACTTTGTTTACATTTTGCTTCCTTTATGACACATTATTGCACGTTCGGCTCTACTTCCTTCATTAATTTTGTTTAACACGTAACAATATACTCTAAATCCATTATTTAAACATTATTTAATACTTGTTTGACATTTCTTAAGATTCAAATATGAGAAAAAATATGAATTTCTCAGGCATAATGCACCTTTGATAAAATTAAAAGAACTGTAGAATAATTATCAGTGTTAGATCTACATTTTATAAAAATGTATCATGTTGTTTACAGAATTTAAGTTTATAAAATCAGGGAATATTTTAGATGCTCTTATTTACTCGGTCACTTTGTAGTTGAACTAATTTGAAAATTTTTTCCATATATTGAATCTCGATATCTGACAAGTATTCGGATTCTTTTACAATCTATAGTTTTTCTATTGGTATAATTAACATGTATGAAAAACAAGATTTAAATAGTATCAAAATATCGTTAAAATACACATAGCCTTTAACCATTTCTAAATTAAGGTGGAAGTTTGCCATGGCCGGATTTCGAGAGCGGATGGTTACCAATTAAAAACGGTCTTGAACATGTTGCCCGGCTCAATATTGACCATGGTCTAGGCGAAATACCAGTTCTTGTAGACGTCTCTGTGAAAATAAAAGAACGTATATTCCCAGCGTCAGGTAAAATATAGTGTTTATTTATCCAGTTTATTTTTTGTTGTTTTTTTAGTTGTCGAAGGTCTGTGAATTTAATAAATGTTTATTTCACACCTGTGTTTTCAGCGTTTATACCAAATGAGTTTCCATTGGATTATTATTAAATCCAATCTTATCAATTTTGCCTCGTGACCAACAAATCCATCTTAAATTCGTATAGTAAACCATAAAGCCTCGTTTTCATTTTGAGAGTCCAAACATTCTGTATCAAATGCATAAAAAATGTCAAAATGTCAAAAAATGGAGGTGTGAAGTAAGAGCCCATTATACGTTGTTGAGAATAAAACTGATTTTATTGGGCTCGTACACAGCGCAAAATCTATATCAGACTCGGCTAGTGCCCCGCCAATGTAGGTTTGACAGCTGTGTACCCGTCCAGTTATTCAATATTGTACTCAACAATGTATTACATATCACAATATTATGTATTATTATACAATGTTCGTTTTTAAAGGTCAGGTCCACGCAGTATCGAATACTTCCGTGGATCATTGATGAGATAAACGTAACAGATAATTATCATTCATGGTCACAAAAAGCATTGGAAAAAATCTCAATTTTGTAACTTTTACTTTTAATATTTCCGCTATTTACACGTGACAGAACTTCTGATAATTATCAAAATTAATTTCAAAACAATTTTATACTTTTCTCATCTAAGGGATTTTTTTGGTTGAGTTTTAGAAGTGTTAGATTGAATCATGGTTGGAATGTACAAAGAATAAAATATGTCAACTTGTTAATAAACTGAACTTTATTGTACTAGAAATAATAGTTTTTCCCTTCTCTATGTGATTAAAAATGTCATGATGAAATTAGTTATTGGAACCTGTATTATATCTTATATATCTAGGTTTCCGACCTGACCACCCAAAGGAGCGTTCAGGACCAGTGGTATATATTTATGATGCCATGTATGTAAATGTGTCGACAACTCCTGTAGAAGATCCACTATATAGACTTATTCCGAAAAGTAAGTGATATATATCATATTCTATCATATACACCGTGTTTCATGATAAAATATGTGCTAAAAATAGATGCATGTGAATAAGTATTAAGTTTGTGAACAAAGGATGGCCATTATGAAAAATAGAGATAATTTAATATTGCCGTCTATTTGGCTTAAATATATTACAATTTGTAGCCAAGCTTGCATCAGTTACAATGAAATTGGCCTTCAATTGATACTGAAATTCTATGCATTCAGTAGGTTTCGAGGGGAACAGCAAATTGTGGTATCCAGTGCCAAAAATCTACTTTTTTACTTGTGATTTCTTTTAATTATTTGTTTTTAAACTGTAAGGAGTTAGATCTACTATTTTATGTATGTGGTAAATAGAATATTATATTGTGTAGCTTCATTGCTAGATTTATCGGATGTAAAAATATCAAACTCGCCATAGACTGGCATAATATGATTGTGTTTATTCAACTCGATCAAAAGATTCAAATTGACTGGTTATTGAACTTACGTTCATTTTTTCCAGTTAACAGACGATATGCGGGTGGTAAGGTTATCATATATGGAGATGCGCAAGTGCGCGTGCGAGCTTGGAAACAGTCGTCACTTCCGGTGGTAAACTTTCACCAATCAGGGATAAAAATGAAAGCGAACACTTCCAAAGGTAAAGCAATAAGTCGCCGATGACACAATAAATAAAACACAAGTCTAACAACTATCTTGGGCGGTTTTGAAGCAACTCCACGATAGTTAAAACTGCGCAATAACGGGAACACTCTGGTTGATCTTAAAGAACCTCCACTTAGGTCAAAATGTCTGAATACATAAAACTTAAAATTTGAAATTCTTGCATAGATCAAGCGGTGCACTTTAAATGGAAAAATCTAAAAATAGAAATAGTAAACAATTATACTTAGAATAATTTGAAAATCAATATTTTGTTTGCACGATTTGAAGCCCGGTTTGAGTAAAAGGATATTCAACGCTCCCTCCACCCCTACCCCCCCCCCCCCAAAAAAAAAAAAATGAAGAAAAAAAAAGGAAAATGGTCATTTGTTGGCTAATGTTTCTAAGAAACGGGGTTAGGAAATGAGTTGGTATTTTGCACAGAAGTTATAAAATAGCACAGAAGTGCCGATATAATATTTCCTGTTCCTTCATGTAAAAAATAACAAACAAACTCTGTGGAGTCCCTTTAAGAGTTTAAGATAATTTGTGAGACTGTAATTGTCCTTTTACTGTCAAGTTTCTCCTGCCCGCGATTAATTCAACCAGCATTTGTATAAAATCCGCATTATCATCTATATTACAAAAACATATTTTATTATTATAACAATCAGGACGTGATCAAAATAAGTTACAGGCATTTTCATCACGATCAAATTTCGATGAATGTTTCTTAAACCAAAGTTAGTGCATATTCTAAGTACAACCTTAAAACATTTTTCGCACCATCTTTTCTATTATAGTTTCAGATTCCTACGCCGAAGTGAGTCATAATCTTGGGGAAATGCCTTGTCTTGTTATAGTTCGTATCAAAATGCATCATGGGAACAACTTGATTATGGCTGACGGCGTTGGTAAGTCACGTATATATTTTTAGTTGTAAAGATGAGTGTATACAAACTCCTCACAGTGATTACCTCCCTTGGCAAAATTGAAATCACTGCTTTCACAGATGTCACATGATGATGGAAGTCACATGACGTAACGTCGAAATTCAAATGTAAATATCCGCCGTTACAAAGAAATTCTAACGTCATTTTTCTCTTTCTGTTTTATTTTTAACTTTTTGTACCTACGTTCGTTATATTTTATCAAAAAAATATCAAAAGTATACAAAATAATGAAAAATAGATTCAAAAGTTAAAAAATATAAAATATCAAAATATTGACAATGGCAGAGGCTTTGTACTGATAAGGGGAGATCACTGCGTAGGAGATTGGAGTGTATATAAAACTTTATAATACTGCACGTTTGTAACGCCACTTTTCATTGGAAAACCATGACGTTTATATAGCCTTTATAATACTGCACGTTTGAAACGTCGCTTTTCACTGGATTATCGTGACTTTAATATAGTTTTTATATACATGGCTGCTGTCGATTTATAAAGAAATCTCGCTGTATTCCTCTAAAAGTGATGCTTGCTGTATTATAAATTTGTTATAAATATTTCTGACAGGTTATATGGCCGCATATGAATGGTTGTTTCGGCTTGGTTTACATTTTATACAGGACCATATAACCTGTCAAAAATCTTTATAACTAATAATATACACGGCTGTTGTCAGTTTATCAAGAATTCACATTTCCCCTAAAAAGGAAGTTTGCTGTATCATAAATAAGCCATAAAGATTTCTGATATGTTATTTGGCTTATATAAACAGTTGTTTGCAATTGACCCTCGCCTAGCGGCTTGGGTTATGTTTGTCTGTTTGGGTTTGTTGACCCTCACCACCCGAAAGAAACCATATCGGCAAGCAATACATTCAAACAAATGTTTATATAGGGCCATATAACTTGTCAAAAATCTTTATAACTAATCTTACAAACGTCACAAATATCAAATGAAAAGCGAAGTTACAAACGTGCAGTATGCTGAATTCCCAGGTGCATATTATTACACAAAAAGGGAAAAAAAGACAAACGGTCCGGACTTATAATGAGATATTTTTTTCTTTGAAGGTGGTATTTACGTGCCCGATAGTACTAAATCGACAATTGATGTACTTGAGATCCATTTAAATAACGCAAATTATAAATAAATGTAAGTGTAATAAGTATCATAAAAGAAATAGGCTCCAATTTTGAAATTTCATATTCAAAAAATTATTTCATTTGCTTTTTTCATTGTTTTGTTTAAGAAAATGTAGCAATTCATCATTTTCAGGATCCAGCATGCAGGTATACGCGGATGTATCTGACAGAACAAACGCCTACCTTGTATATGGTTATAGTAACAACACGGTGAGAATGTGGGTAGACTCGTCAAACCTTGGTGGTATGTTACATTAAAATAAAATAGTCCGACGTGTTGAGATATGTTTCCATTATAAATGCTCAGTTAGTTATTTAGAAAGCGTGTTTGGTAGTTTAAGAACTTTATTAACTTTACAGTAATATATGATGTTCATTTACGAAAAACATCCATAGGAGTGAGTTTCACAAACTGATAAAATCCTTGATAAAATAGTTCAAGCAATAATGCCATTGATCTTGCTTAAGGAGTTGTCTTAATACAATCTTTAAACCAAGATTATTCTATGATTCTTCTTTTATCTTTTTATAAAAAAGTGTGCGGTCACTATATTCTTTGATATTTTTCATGATAAAGGTGTCTTCTTAGTATACACGGTCGCATGATCAATTTTTAAGGCACCAAGTTCTTGAAGTTTTATGTGCCATTTAAAGCTCATAGTAAATCATAAAAGGTTAAGCGTCAATTTCAGTACTCAATTACTTGTGAACTTAGAATGTTGTAATTTGATTTTATCCACTTTTTAAGAGGATTTGGGTGGGGTTCGTTTCAGTTTTAGTACTTAAATTGTTATTTATTGAATATGTTTCGTTATATGTACTGAATTCATTATTCGGATTGAAGGCATAAAAAGAAATATGTTACAAAAATACGTTGTATCAAGATAACATTTCATTTGTGTTGTTTTAGATCCGTAAGCTTTTAGCACGATACTTTGCTATATATATGTGGTTGTTTAAAGATCCTATATGTTCTGTGATTGATATTGTTACTGTGTGTATACCACATGTGCTAAAATTAATGTATGTATATACTTATGCAAATAAAACAATTTTCAAACATCGAAGAATCTGTAAAATGTGTAATGCAAATATTTGTGCACATTATATTTAATCAACAAATTACATGCATTCATTTCTTATTGGAAAATTTGACTAAGAATTTATAGAACGTAAATTTCTAATTACCTCCCTTTATCTACATGAAATGGTATATTCGGTAATATCTTTACAAATAATGCTTATTGGAATTTACAATGTTGACAAATCTTACTTCGAGCATCATACGTATGAAATAAAACCATAAAAATTGTGTAACAGGATCTTTAAAACCAAGACATGATGGTATTTTTAAAAGAATACTTTTTAGTATGGACCATATGTTGAATATATTTTTTCTAATTTTCTAATTCTATATGTATACATTTTATATAAACTGTTTTCTAGCAATATTTGATGGAAGAAAACACACATGGTTTGATATAGTGATGTCTGAAGGTGAGGCGGAGATTTTTGCCTGGAAATGTTCTACCAATACACCGTTTTACAACGCACGCGTGGTTATTAAAAATACTATGGACAAGTTGCCCGAATGGTGGAATTTAGACGTTGACTACGAATTAGAATATTCACTGATTCGTGTTTCTGTAAATATTTTTCTTTTGACTTTGTTAATGTATTTTATTCTTATCTATTTTTTTTATTCTTGGGGGTGATTAGGCGTTTAGCACATCGCATAAAGACCTTCATGCGGTGTTATTGTCACGTCTTTTTGCAATAGTGTCCATCATGCTTAGATGTCGATACACGACAATCAAAGGTGACGTCACGTAAATGTGATTTGACGTTAAGATCATGTGAAACGCCACAATGACAGTAAGGTAAATCGAAAACGTTCTGATAATACGATACAACGTAATCCTCTTATTGTTGTCCGTATAGTTTTGACTTGTCGCGCGTCCTTTCACGTTTTTCGTACGTCACTTCTGATTATCGCATTATCACTCTGCGTTGTCATGCGCCAACATTTTAGCACAACAGAGACAGCGCTGCAGTTGACACGATAAAGACTCCGTACTTTTGATTCATGGCATAAGAATAAATGGGAGATGCAACCATTCTTGTTTTTCTGAGCAATGCTGATCTGAATTCAAAAAATAATTCACGTAAATGGTTAATCTTTGTTTCCTTGTAAATGTAGATATCTTTGTAATGATAGTCTTTAAAACACGTTAAATTAACTTATTAAAATTATGTTTAACAATCAAAAATATTTACAGGTACTTGCCGAGACACCAGAGAAACCTAATTCCGGTTTTCGATTTCCGGCCGGAATGTATCTTGGGTATCCAGAACCACCGGAAACCGGAAATACTGTCGGCCCCGTATCCGTCGGTGGCCTCTCTTATGCGTATGAATTGAGATACAAATTCAATTTCTGGCAGCCGAAGTTTTCCGAGAATCTTTCTTCAATATTTATAGCAGAATCATTTGGCGATGGAAAGAATACAGAAGTATCTCATAGTGAATCGGTTTACATATTAAGTTGGATATATGAAGGTTAGTTTGATGAAGAAAACTATCAAATCACAAAGGCCTCCAATATTTCCATGCATATACTTTAAACTGTAAGGAAGAATAGAATCTTTTGTTCCGTCTGATTGACACGATTGAAAGCTTGGAAAAAATTAGCACAGTAAATGTATTCTAAATGTTTGTACCAGCTGTAAAGCAGTAAAGTTTGCTTGTCAGTAATTTTAAGGAATGAACCGGAATTCTTGAATATTCTTAAAATTGTGTTTATTTATACAGCTTGTATGACACACACACACACACGCACGCACACACGCACACAAACACATCTTTTTAAAGGGTATAAATCTGTATCTTATGAAATATTTTTATAAATTTTTTCAACAATAAAACTATAGGTTCCATTATTATATGGTTGATTCCCCCAAAAAGTTGTAGAATATCTCTGTTATTTAACACACATACTTAATGTATGTAAACAGAATAAAATGTTCGAACTAAAATATTATTTTGCTAAATAAATGTAAGTGGGTTTTGTCCGTTTAGCAATGACTTTGTGCATGTGCCAATCGCTTTCAGGCAATTTATTGCCATTTTCATTTCATACAAGCATTTTGAAGTATTCTCTTTTAAGAATACAAACAATGATATTTGCATCAGATATATAGCTTTACACACTTTAGGAAAGGCACCTTAAGCGAATGTTGCCAACTGTTATTTTGTCTTTATTAATCAGGTAGAAAAAATGATTTAATCTATCAATTATTATTTTTGTTTTGTTATTTGTTTGTCTTTCTTGATACTATTTTATGGGATCGGTAGGGTCATAATTAAAGTCACAGTTTAAGGGATGCCACTGAGGTTTAAAAGCCTTAAAACATAATATTTGAATTTCTAACATAAATGATCTGGGCCACTTTAAACAGAAATATATGCAAAGATAAGTTAAGAAATATACTTTGAGTGAAAAGCGTTTAAACGCTTTTCATTTTTGGTCCTTTTTAAGATTAGTGGTCTAACCCTACATCAAATTGTACATTTACCTGGAAAAAAATATTTGCAGTCCCATTATATCAAAAACCTTCAGTGGAGTCCATTTAAAGTGGTTTAGATTGCATCAATGAACACTGGCTGTATTCCAGCCATGCTGGTAATGAGTGAGTAACAAAAAAGGTTGGAGCACCACACTAAATACCGTATCCCGGTATATACCGGACAACGCGTTCGAATGATTAAATGTCACAATCTTGCCATCTCACTCAACCCTCTTCTTCATCTCTACATAACAATTTATTTACATGTACAATAATGATAGAAAAAAATGTAAGAATGGCCGAAATTGTTCTACTTTGTAATCATGATTTCTGCAAGCGTCTGTAGGTACTGCTCCAACACTGTAGCAAGCTAAAACAAGTCAGCTTGTCTTACGTCTCTGTCACGAATACCCCATACGTGCTTTACTAGTACATGTATCTACTGTTACAGTACAATAGTATTGTATTCAATTATATTGATTATAAAAGAATAATTTCTCAACTTCCTGTAACCAATTTTTATGCTTCCCGAAAAAATTTCGGGGGAGCATATAGTCGCCGCCTTGTCCGTCTGTCCGTTCGTCTGTCTGTCCGTCCGTCCGTCTGTCCGTCCGTCCGTCCCCTTTTCTTGTCCGGGACATAACTTTGAAACAACAAGAGGTATCAACATGAAACTTTGTAGGTAGATAGATCTCATTGAGTAGGTGTGCAGTGCACAAGAACCGTAACTCTGCCTTGCCTAATTTTTGAATTATCCCCCTTTGTTTATTTTACACTTTGAACTTTGTCCGGGACATAACTCTTAAACTATAAGTGGTATCAACATGAAATTTTGTAGGTAGAAAGATCTCATTTAGTATGTGTGCAGTGCACAAGAACCGTAACTCTGCCTTGCCTAATTTTTGAATTATTCCCCTTTGTTTATTTTGACACTTAGAACTTTGTCCAGGACATAACTGTAAAACTATAAGAGGTATCAACATGAAACTTTGTAGGTAGATAGATCTCATTGAGTAGGTGTGCAGTGCACATAAACCATAACTCTGCCTTGCCTTATTTTTTAATTATCCCCCTTTGTTTATTTTCACACTTTGAACTTTGTCCAGGACATAACTCTAAAACTATAAGAGGTATCAACATGAAACTTTGTAGGTAGAAAGATCTCATTAAGTAGGTTTGCAGTGCACAAGAACTGTAACACTGTCTTGCCTACTTTTGGAGCTATTGCCCTTTGTTCATTTTGACACTTTGAACTTTGTCCGGGACATTACTCTAAAATTATAAGATATATCTGAACATGAAACTTTGTAGATAGATAGGTCTCATTGGATGGAAGTGCAGTGCTTAAGAATCATTACTCTGCCTTGCCTTATTTTGAAGTAATTGTCCTTTGTTTATTTTTACTTTTGACTTTTGTCCGAGACATAACTTTAAAACTATTAGAGATATCAACATGAAACTTTGTAGGTAGCTAGATATAATTGGATAGAACTGCAATGCTTAAAGAACCTAAACAAAGCCTTGTCTAATTTTGGAGTAATTGCCCTTTGTTCATTTTTACACTTTGAATTTTACCAGGGACATAACTCTGATATCATTAGGAAACTTTATAGATAGATAGATCTCATTGAATAGAAGTGCAGTGCAAAAATAGCATAACTCTGCCTTGCCTAATTTTGGAGTTTTTGCCCTTTGTTTATTTTTTTTACACTTTCCTGTGTCCAGAACCTTCTCGGGGAGCATCACCCGGTTCAACCGGTTCTTGTATCAAAATGGTTAATTTCTAATTACATGCTCATTGACAGAGAACGCTGGCTGCCCAGAGCCCGTCATTCCGAATGGATTTGCCAACACGTCATTGAACGGAACGTCAACGGGATCGCACGCGATAGTACGTTGTGACGAGGGGTATGATATCAAGCAGAAGAAGAAGTATTACGGTTATGACTATGAACGGTATAATATCACGTGTCATAAGTTTGGATACTGGGAGAATATACCAAGCTGTATACCAAAGGGTACGACTAAATATTCTTTAACATGTAATGAAATCATTTTTTTTTTCGTTGGTTTCGCTTTTTTAAAATTGAAATTACCTTAAAGGCAGCATCAGAGGTATTTGTCGAAAAGGTTATAGACGTACACTAGTTTACATTTCAAATTCATATTACGTTTACACTTAGTACATGAACGAATACTTTGAATCATATACTTTTAATTGTGTGGCGATTGTTTTTATTTTCATACGTTGAACAAAAAAAATGAGTTTTAACCAGATAGGTAAGGGCCTAATGATTAAGGTGTCTGCGTAAGGGAAGCGGTGGCCTACTGGTAAATTGTCTGCCACTCACACCAGAGATCATGGGGTTCAAGCCCAACTCGGGTCACGACCATGTTTCTTCATATGACACCACTACTGGTTGCTTCCAGGAAGCGGACTGGAAGGTGATTAATATAAGTTGTAAGAACTTGCTTCGCAATTGAGCTTGAATAAATATCTTTAAGCCAACCAAAAATATTTTTCAACGTATTCTTGCAAAATACAGCTTAGCGAGTAGACGCTGCAAAAAATATTGTGTTTTTTTTGCTTATGGGAATGATTTATAATTATATTTCAGAAAAGGCAGTGGACTCAGATTGCAATCCTGCCGTGGATAGATGCCGGGATCAACACGCGACCTGTACTTTGACGCCGGATAGACAAAGATATAGGTGCACGTGTAACGATGGTTACAAGAATGAAAATGGGAGGTGCAAAGGTAGTTATTTATTCATTCTTTAAATATAGCTATGAAAATACTTTTTATCGGTTACTGGTTAAAATACCCCCAAAGCAGTAACCGTGATCCCTACTTTTTCTTAGTGTTGTTTCTATAGTGTATCTTTCTGCTTATTTGAGCTCATTAATTCAACTTTTTTAATCCTATGTTTATGAATACCGCGTAAGCCAGTGCTACGGAGGATTGGTTATAAATGCTGTTGTCTATCTAAATGTATAAATTGAATGGATACACATAAATTCTATTTTACATTCAACCTGGTACGAGAAAAATATGCGATTGTTTCCAACGCGGCCCCGAAGGATATTACCTTGAAACATATACCATCAAAACTAACAAGGGGAGGAGTGACCTATTGGTTAAGGGTCTGCCTCTCCATGCTGGGATAATGGGTTCGAGCCCTTTTTGGACCATGCCCTTGTTTTCATATGACATCGGAACTGGTTGGTTCAGGAAACGGATTCGAAATAGATAAATATAATTTGCAAGAACTTGTTTCGCTATCGGGTTTAGATAAGTAAAAGAAAGAGCACCGAAACACGATGCCATCTGATTTGTTCGAGATTGCCGAGTGTTTTGGTGTTCTTTCTCTTTGGTATCATAGTCAAACATGAAAGGACGTTCCCTGTTGTCACAATATGAAACCCCGGCAAAAATGAACGAATGAACGATCATCGGAATATGACATTTCTGTCGCTTTCCCTTTCTCTGCCGTCACAGTATGTAAACCCAAGCAAAAATGAGCCAATCAACAGGCATGCTCTGGAGTGCGGGTAACTAATACCCGCACTCCAGTTAACGCACTGTGCATGTATATGTATACGATTTAACCCTGACACATTTCCAACAGAAAGGTTTCCAAACTATGATACAAATATGTTTAAACAAACAATTAAAAAGGTCACTGAACTAGGAAAGAAAAACTTTCGGCATCATCAGTTTTGAAATATACAATTTGATACACATTTTCAGAGTGTAAATAGTCATTAGGTAAACTTTACATATAGCCGCCTCTTCAATAATTTTATAAGGATTTTTCTTCCTTTTCTTTTCTTTTTCTTCTTCCAAACATCTTCATTGCTCACCAGTCTTTTCTTCTTTCATTACAGCCAAAGGAATCTATTTACCAACAGCTGATTATGATAGTGACTGGACAATACTTCATAGGACTGGACCCAAGTGGCACCTCGAGTTCGAACATGGTCTGGGGACAGTACCAGTGATAGTTGATGTACAGGTTGAAGTTGATAATGTGATATTTCATGCTATTGGTAAGCAACAATATATAGTGGAAATATTTTGTTATAATAAAGTTATACTATAATCAAAACTGAAAATATGAACAAATTTCAACGTCCTGTCTAACGTATACAAAGTACACGTACAATAACATGTGGATTTTCCTAAAGTTTGAAATTATCCGTGTTCATTGTACTATCTAGGCTCAAAAAGCGGAAATTGCTGTCTTCATACACGTGCCAGCCATGCGTTCCCGGTGACGTCAGTTTATCAAAACGTCACTTTGCTTAACATATGACTTTTTAAACAACGTTATTTTTTCAGAACTCGTTTGAATTTTAATAATTTAATTAGAATATACACATTATATCACAAATTTATTCCGTGAACGGGTACACATGCATACATTTTACATTGGCAACTACAGATTCATATTGTAATTGGACTTAAATAGAATATACATTTTCTTAAATTGTTCATCTTATATTTATCATTTATCCCTAAGGTCACAGATTTCTCAGTCGGTGTTAACTACTTAATATAATAAATCGTTTTGCATCACAAAAACAGTTTACATATACTTTAATATTATACCTCATTTGCATACGTCCTTCTATAATTAATAGGACGTCATCAGGTCCATAAACCGCATGCAGACCGGGGGCGGTCCATAATTCTTATATGGACTGGATGACGTCATTCAAAATATTAAAGTTCGTTTTTTTTTTTTTGCCTGTTTTATCTGATTAACAAAAATGAATAACAAAAGAAGAGCATAATTTTTTTGCTGTATCGCTTGAAAATAATAATAATAATAATTTCGACTAGGGTTTGAGATATTTCACAATCTGAACAAATAAATTATTTGCGCTTCGGGCCATATACCTTCCTCAGTCTGACCAATCAGTCCGTAAACTTGCTACCTACCGGCTCCTTTGTTAAAAGCGGTCTAGTAAATCACTTACCGACCGGTTAACAGGTCTGCAAATAGATACCGACCTTTATTGTTTCTATTTTTCCTAAAAATAGAAAATATGTAAAGTCGGAAAAATCGTGATTACAGTCCAAATTTTACCGTAAAAGAACGCTGAATTTGGGGGGGGGAGGGGGGGGGTAAAACCCCTTTGAATAGGAAAAAAGGGGCACTATATTTTAAAGATTAATCGAAAAAAAATTAGCTAAAAAAGCTGTAAGGACCCCATAACTTATTTCGATTTTTTTGAAAAAACAACTGGGGTCTGTTTTGGCGTTAAGTTTTGTGTTTCGCCTATATTTAAAGAGATCAAAAGCACGTTAATCCCTTTTTTTTTCTTTTCTATTTCCTAAACATTTTCCGAACTTATACTTTTAAATACTATTTTGGGATTTTTACAACTTTTTAAGCACAATCCCCGATTATTTTTAAATTTTGTTAAGAAATATAACGATTTTATTTTTGGTGCAATCGAAACAAAGTCAAATTTTCATCTTTTTTTCCTAAAAAAATACTTTCGTAGGGAAAAATTAGTTCATCTTAAGTATAAGACCGTTTTTCTCATTTTTGCGCTTCCATTCTAGACCGCGTGCTTACATGCGGTCTTATAACGGATGATGCTAATTAAGAATACACGGAAAGAAAATTCATCAAAACATGGATGAAATTCTAAGAACATTTAAAATCAGCCATCATAAAAAACAACAACAACAAAACCCAACTTACATGGCGGTGTAACTACATGTATTACTAATATTTATTCATAGAACCCTGTCTTTTACTTTCCTTTGAAAAAATCGTATATTTTAATTATATAAGAAATAGCCTGATCATCTATTTACCATTAAATTTATTATATATAAAGATAAAGTGTTTAGAAAACATTTTTATCTTCCTCAGTGTTTGTTTATATTATTAATATGTTATGTATTCATATATTGACAATATCAAAATAATGATCTTACCATTCCCTACTCGACTCATTTTCTGTAACTCAACTCAACAAGTACATCACCTGACCTTATTACATAATGAAACCCCACGAAAATCACGAGAATATTCAAATAGCACCTGATTTGTGAACGAATGAATTACAAGAGCGTAGCGGATGGTATCTTTGCTTTGCTTTGGAATGCTTTCTTAAACATGATAAAGTACATAAGTAATATGTTTCTTGTGAGTAATATTAATAAATACTGATGTATGGATAGAAAAACAAAAGAGCATGTAGGTAAGATAGTTACCGCACTCGGAATAGGTCTGCATAGTATTTACAGACCCGGTGGCCTTTTAAAAACCTCGATCGCTACGCTCTCTCGGTCTTCAAATCGCCACCCGGGTCTGTAAATACTATGCAGACCTATTCCTCGTACGGTAACTATTACCTATTGCTCTCAAGGCCATATATCATTTGTTAATTGACACATTTTTTTATAAACCAAATTGCAAAGCAATGCCCTTAATATGGTTTTAACAATATGTGCTTTTATTGAAAATTTTAGACTTAATTTTTTTATCAAGGTCAGTCGCCTGCAAGAAATCAACGAGGTTATGACGATGAGAGTACAGTTGTATATATCTATGATGAAAATTTTGTCAATGTATCCGCCTTCAGACCTACTGGAGATTGGAGTGGGGACGGCCTTTTCTCAAGAGGTTAGATTGAAAATACTCTCCTATACTTGGCCTGTTCAATCCAATTTTTAGTCGCTATTGTTCCATCATAACCATTTTGTCCTCTTTCCTTATTTGTGTTTTGTTATTTTTCGACGGAAGTCGTCTTAAAACAGTTTGACTTCCTGTAAAATTAACATAAAAGAATGAATATAAAGGAGCTTTTATTAGTTATTTTCAAATTGCAAACTGCTATCTGGTAATCTCATTGGCTATTCTAAAAAGTTTTAAGGGTAGTTTAATTTAAAAGTAAAATGTAAAGCATAGTTCCCGTCATTATAAAATAGAACGTAAAGGATTGTTCTTATATAAAAAGTACATTTTTATTTCTAAGATTTGTTTTGTCTTCTCCTCTTATACCATTAATGCTGAGTTATGGCCCTTGAATAAAAAGCATTTTGTCCTGTAAATGATGTTAAACAGTAGCTGCAACATGCATTTTGCTATCATCAGGCGACACATGTGATCGCTCTTGTTCAAGATAAGTATTTGTTGTTTGTTTGTTTGATTGATTGGGGTGTAAGTCACAACGACACAGTATAGGTCATTTAGCGGCGTTCCAGCTTTACAGGTGGATGAAAACTTCAGGTGCCCTTCTGTGCATTATTTCATGCACGAACGGGCACCCGAGTAGAACCACCAGCTAGCTGGATAGCTTACTCACATGAAAGAATCCAAAGTACCTGTCGGGATTCGAACCTACAGCAGCGAGGGACAAGTGGTTTGAAGTCAACGACCTTAACCACTTGGCCAAAGACGCCCCCTCAAAATAAGTGAAACCACAAGAAAGTATCATGTCATTGTTACGGAAGCATTTTTAAATACAAATTTCATAGTTTTATTGATCTTTTTTTGTTATGAAGAAAGGCGTAAATATTGAACTAATTCACTTTATTTAACAAGGTAATTACAAGTGGTATGGCTATGCCAATAACTGGGGAAGCTTTGGATATGTCCGAGTTCTGGCATGGAAGGCGGAATCACTTCCGGAACCAGATATATTGGACAACACGAAAACACTAAGGGCTAACACTTCTAAAGGTGATTTCCATTCAGTCATATTTTTATATTACAGTACATGGAGTATGTCGTGTTGGCAAATACGTATCAATGAGTGATATCAAATTTGAGTGCATTTATGTAGAATAAGGGTTCGGGATGATAATCACGAGGGCCAATAGGCCTGATAGAATAGTTACGAATCATCTGAATTACAAACCGTGCATTTTTATACAATAGTGCACGAAACATTATATCTATATTCTTAAATGCTATAAAAAAAGAATTGATGAAATTATGTTGAACTATATATCAAACGTTTAAGTATTTTTATGACATCAATGTGTTTATTGACGACATATTTGACGTCATATTGTCGTTTTATGATGTGCATCTAACAATAACATACTTGATCGTCCTATCTGTTTGATAAGGAAAAGTTTAAAAGCGTGTTAGATTTAATATCATATTTGTAAACGGGTGGAATCTTCTGGCATTGATGAATTAAATTAAACAGTTTGTTTATAAGTATTCATTATACACCTCGTCCAAATTAGAAAAATCTTTATTTTTTAACAAAATATCATGCTTATATCACATCATAACATATCTTTGTGATATACAATATGTTGGTATGTCACGAATTCTGGTTACCTTGCAACTTGAACACGACTTTATAGATCTGGAAGATCTGTATAAAGACTCCTTTTGTTTTATTTCAGCCAGCGACTCATTTTATGAACTAGAGCATGGTCTAGGAGAATATCCCGGTATTGTTGTTGTTCGAGCTAAAATGGAGTATAATGGTACAACTTTCTACGCAGATGGAATAGGTATGTTGTTTTGAATAAAAAATAAAGAGAAAACAACATGTTGTTTTAGATAAAAATAAGAAAGCACAATATGTTGTTTTAAATAAAAAAAACAGAAAAGTATAATATGTTGTTTTAAAATTAAAAAAAAAAATTAAAAAGCACAACATCAAAGTGATTTTATCTAACCAATAGTCTTTATCGCTACAAGTGATTTATAGGTGCATGTAATATTTCAAAACGAATTAATAAAATAGTTCTTCACTTAAAGGTAAATCCAGAAACAGTTCACAAAAGATTGTATTACCCACAGATATTGCTATATATTAAGTGAAATCTTTTTTTTATGATTATAAATGTATTTTGAATTACTTTCTTTTATTAATTTAAAGGATCAGCACTTAATGTATTTTATAAACTGAATGAAAATGAGACAAATACCGGCCTGGTTTACGGTTACAGTGACTCAAAGATTCGCGCATGGGTTGACGCATCGACGAAGGGAGGTAAAAAGATATATTCATGTTTATATTTATATAATGATTATGTTTGTTTTCTTATGATTAAATGTTTTCTAAGCAGTGTGAAATGATTTATGGTATTCTTACTGCAATGCTCAGCCCGCCAAAACAATTCTAACATTGGCTAATATTGTTCCAAATTGTTTTTTTCTCAAAATCTTAGGCATTAGATTATTTACAATCACGCATCCTTTATCGCTATGCACAAAATTTCGGTTTTAAACAATTAAAGATTATTGAATACTTTAAATTGTGAAAAATTACTTTCCGGAAATTCCTTATTTGGAGCAGAATAAGGAATAAAAAACTGGTTCCATATTCCTTATTCGACTTGAATGTTTTTTCAAATAATTATTTTATGCAGATGCGTTATGCAATGGTTTTAATGATTGATCCTTGCAGTGTATATTATGCAAATACGTCAGAAATAATTGCAACTGCTGTCTTTCTTTGCGTATCGTTTTCTGTTCCTTATTCGAAATTGAATAACTAATAAGGAACTGGATCCTTATTCCTTGTTCGACTTGAATATTCTTTTCTTCAAAATTCAATGTATCTAGATACGGGTTCTGTATGCAATGATTTGGATTGAATTTTGCAGTTCTATTATAGATTGATGAAGAAAAAAACAATAGTGCACTTACTGTATCTTCTGTTCCTTTTTCAGTGTTACACTGTGGTTCTAGTTAGCTGATCATCCATAAATATTATTATATAAATGTTCTGCTTTTCTTTATTAAGATTTGAATAAGGAATCAGAAACTAGTTTCCTATTCCTTATTCGAAAAAGGAATAAGGAATAAGGAACTTAATTTATAAACATAATTTCTTGATCGGTTATAGTTAATTCAGCAATATTTGATCTGTTATGGTCATTTCAACGATATTGATCGGCTATGGTCAGCAATAGTTGATTGTTTTTTGCTATTTCAGCATGATAAAATTGTGGTCATTTTAGCAATTATATTTGACCAGTTAAGTTTTTAGCAATATTTTATTGGTTATATTTATTTTAGCAATATTTGAATGGGTATGCTTAGTTTAGCAATATTTGAATGGGTATGTTTATTTTACTGTAGCAATATTTGAATGGTTATGTTTATTTCAGCAACATTTGAATGGTTATGTTTATTTCAGCAACATTTGAATGGTTATATTTATTTTAGCAATATTTTAATGGGTATGCTTAGTTTAGCAATATTTGAATGGTTATGTTTATTTCAGCAACATTTGAATGGTTATGTTTATTTTAGCAATATTTGAATGGTTATGTTTATTTCAGCAATATTTTATTGTTTATGTTTATTTTAGCAATTTTTTTTTGTTTTGTTTATTTCAGCAATATTTGAATGGTTATGTTTATTTCAGCAATATTTAATTGGTTATGTTTATTTTAGTAATATTTTATTGGTTATGTTTATTTTAGCAATAGTTTATTGGTTATGTTTATTTCAGCAATATTTGATTGGTTATGTTTATTTCAGCAATATTTGATTGGTTATGTTTATTTTAGCAATATTTGATTGGTTATCTTTATTTCAGCAATATTTGATTGGTTATGTTTATTTTAGCAATATTTGATTGGTTATGTTTATTTCAGCAATATTTGATTGGTTATGTTTATTTCAGCAATATTTGATTGGTTATGTTTATTTCAGCAATATTTGAATGTTTATGTTTATTTAAGCAACATTTGAATGATTATGGTTATTTCAGCAATATTTGAATGATTATGGTTATTTCAGCAACATTTGAATGGTTATGTTTATTTCAGCAATATTTGATTGGTTATGTTTATTTCAGCAATATTTGAATGTTTATGTTTATTTCAGCAACATTTGAATGATTATGGTTATTTCAGCAATATTTGAATGATTATGGTTATTTCAGCAACATTTGAATGGTTATGTTTATTTCAGCAACATTTGAATGGTTATATTTATTTTAGCAATATTTTAATGGGTATGCTTAGTTTAGTAATATTTGAATGTTTATGTTTATTTCAGCGATATTTGAATGGTTATGTTTATTTCAGCAATATTTGAACGGTTATGTTTATTTTAGCAATATTTGATTGGCTATGTTTATTTTAGCAATATTTGATTGGTTATGTTTATTTTAGCAATATTTGATGGCAGAAAAGACACATATTTCGACATGATCGTGTCAGAAGCTATACTTGAAATTTATGCATGGAAAATATCAACAATCACTCCTTTCTTCACGTTTATGTTTCCACTGGATGAAGACAGAATACCGTATGCTACCGAGTTTTTAATGAACTTTCAACTTGGTGACGGACTTACCTTGGCTACGGTGAGAAAAAATGATTTTTACATAGACAAGTTGGATAAATAATAAGTGCATATTTCTTATTTTATACAAAGGACCACTATTTAGAGTTGAGGAAACAATAACCTACTTATCACTATGAAAGTTATATAAAGGGTTTGAAATTGAAATTTTTTCAAAGATTAAAAAAAGTAAAAAAGTAAAACCCCCTGTGTCTTTAAATTTACCGGGCCGGCTCCATTTTTGAATTAATTTAAGGGAAGGAAACCCCTTTTTTTGATCTAATTTTTTGAAAACAAACTTTTTAGAAGCGCTAGCGCTGCTTCACAAAGAATGATGCACTTTTTTTAGAACCCAAAATTTTTCCGTACTTGTTTTTAAAACAACACAAAATTTTTTGCGTTTTGTTTTTTTTGTTTTGGGGTTTTTTTTTTTTGTTTTTTCTTGAAAGGTTTTTTTTGATTTTAAAAGAAAAAAGAGAGGCTGCTTTTAAAACCCGTTCTAAAGTGATAAAAGCCCTTACCCAATTTCCCTAAAGTTGGGTCGTTTAAACCCAAAATTTTTCAATAATTTATTACTAAAACATTAAAAAGAAAAATTTTAATAAGTTTCCCTTAAAACCAAAACATTTAAAATTTGGGGTCTGTAATCAAAAATCCTTTTATTTTTCAATTATCCAAAAATAATAAATTGCTTTTGTAATCAAAGTCCTTTTAAAAAATTTTATTTTCCCTTTCATAATTTTAAAAAATTTTTAAAATTTTTCCATTACCAATTAAAATAATAGTTTTATCTTTAATTCCCAAAATTCTTAATAAATTCCCTTTCCCAATTTCATAATTACGGGGTTTAAAAGATATCTTTTTCTTTAAAATTTAAAGGCACGATTAGGGGCACATCAAATCCAAAAAAATTAACTTCCCTTTCCCATTTTGTCAGCGTTTCCTTTCGGGGAAAATATGGTTTAAGACCCTTTTCCCAAAAAAACTTGGGGCCCCAAAAGGGGTTTCGGGGGTTTTTTCCCCGGCCCCCTTAGAGAAAGGGGGGTTTTTTGTGATGAGGGATATTAAAACTGTACCTGTATAAACCCATAGACTACAAAATGCCAAATGAAGATTTTGGTAAATTTGCGATTGATTATCGGTGTGAAACAGAGTTGTTAGATTTTCCATATTTTACACATCAGTAATATGTTTCTTGTATATACATTCTTTTGTGCTTCAAATTGATTAAAACCAGCCCTTTAATTGCTAAAATGTACGTGTATGAAAAAAGTATCGATGAACTTAAGTGAGATTGTTATTGCTATTGCTTTAAAAGGAATTAGTCAACAATAAAAAAAATGTAATATCATAAACAATTATGTTGATAGTATTTGGTTTTTTTTTCAAAATTAATTGTTTTATATTTAGGGGCTTTGTTATGTATACCTGACACATATGGGGGAGGAACTTTTACCGATGCAGCCCATAATGGCATTGGAATCCTTCACAGCTGGATAAATGGAGGTCAGTAATCGACTACCCTGAAAATCCCCCCTGCTGGCTGTTGCAATACAAAATGTATCGGATTTTCCCGCTGTTGCAATACATAATGAATAGGATTTTCCCGCTGTTGCATTACAAATGAATTGAATTTTCCCACTGTTTGCAATTACAAAATAAATCGGATTTTCCCGCTTTTGCATTACAAAATGAATCGGATTTTTTCTGCTGTTGCATCACAAAATGAATCGGATTTTTCCGCTGATGCATCACAAAATGAATCGGATTTTACCTCTGTTGCATCACAAAATGAATCGGATTTTACCGCTTTTGCATCACAAAATGAATCAGATTTACCCGCTGTTGCATTACAAAATGAATCTGATTTTACCTCTGTTGCATCACAAAAGAATAGGATTTTACCGCTGTTGCATTACGAAATAAATCGGATTTTCCCGCTGTTGCATTGCAAAATGAATCGGATTTTCCCGCTGTTGCATTACAAAATAAATAGGATTTTACCGCTGTTGGATTACAAAATGAATAGGATTTTCCCGCTGTTGTATTACAAAATGAATCGGATTTCACCGCTTTTGCATTACAAAATGAATTGGATTTTACCTCTGTTGCATCACAAAATGAATCAGATTTTCCCCACAATTTCGCGTATCAATTAATGTTAATTCCCCTTTAAATTGCCAAGCTTAAATGGCTATGCATTTAA